CGTGTCCCCTGCTTGCCGTGTTCAACACAGAGCCCAACTCCTGCCCAGAAGTCCTCTCATTCTCGTTCACCCAGTTCCTCAGACTCTGAGAATTTTTCTTTTTTTCTGTATGACTTGTGATATTGTGATTTATAATAAGAAATACAAGTTTGGTCTTTGTTCTCTGTCCTGGCACAGAGCTCCTAAACTGTGGGAATTGAGAGAGATAAAGGTGGCTTTTGTTATGTTAATGAGGTACTTTTGGAAAGCCTCCTGGTCACCTAAGGCTGGTTGCCAGGGGAGCCAACCATGTGCCAGGGGGTTGGGACTTTTAGTCCTACCCGCAGACCTCTGGGAGGGGAGAAGGGCTGGAGGTTGACTCAATCACCAATAGCCAATGATGTAATTAATGAAGTCTTCATAGAAACCCAAAAGGACTGGGTTCTGAGAGCTTCCGGGTTGGTGAACACTTGGAGATTTGGGGAGAGTGGTGCCTGGAGAGGGCATGGAAGCTCCACCCGTTCCCCATACCTGCCCTACGCGTCTTTCCATCTGGCTATTCCTGAGTATATCCTTTATAATAAACCAGTGATCTAGTCGGTAAACTGTTTCTCGGAGTTCTGTGAGCCACTCTAGCAAATTCATCAAACCAGAGAAGGGGGATGATGGGAACTTCCTATCAATAGCCAGTTGGTCAGAAGACCAGGTGATTGTCGTCTCAAATGGAGGGGCAGCAGTCTTATGGGATCGAGCCCTTAACCTGTGGGATTTGACATGGTCTCCAGTTAGATGGTGTCAGAATTGAGCTGAATTCTGAATTATAGGACACCCAGCTGATGCAAGAGAATTGCTTGCTGGTGTGGGGTGAAAACCCACATGTCAGAACTAAAATCTGAATCATAGACTTTTTTTTTTTTTTTAAAGATTTTTATTGGGGAATTGGGGGAAGGGGAACAGACAAGTTGCTGTCCTTTTGTTCTTCAGTCTAGTTGTGGAGGACGTTGCTTCACTGGCCCAAGTTGGCACCATCATTGCGCTCTTCCCGAGCGAGGCAGATCAGTCGCCGGCTTCTGGACGGCCGCTCACGCTGGCTGCTGGCCGCTCACGCTGGCTGCTGGCTACACAAGGTAGCCCATGGCAACCCACTGCAGCAGGGGCTGCAGCCTACGCCGTCACCAGCGACTCACGGCAGCCCAGCTCCAGGTTGAGCTGTTGTTCAGCATCTTAGCTGTAGAGGGCAGTGTCACTGGCCCTCATATGTGGGATCTGAACCGGGGCCCTCTGGCGTCCCAAGCCAGTTCTTAATCGGCCAGCCCTGAATCATAGACTTTTTGAATATAAATGTTTTCATTTGCCCAGAGAAAAGGGCCCACATTATAAATGCACAACTCTGTGAATTTTCTCAACCAGAATAGCACCCAGGTCAGGAGACAGAAACTTCTAGCCCTAAGCAACACCTCATGGCCCTTCCGGACACTACTCTCCTGATGGCTGGCAATGTGGCAGGCAGAATAATGTCCCTTAAAGATGCCCACATCCAATCCCAGGACCTGGAAATGTTACCTCGTATGGCAAAAGGGAATTGAGTTTGCAGATGGAATTAAGGTTGCTAACAGCGTGACCTTGAGATGAGAGATAACCTTGGATTACCTGGGGGGCCTAAAGTAATCACAGGGGTGCTTATAAGAGGGATGCAGGAGAGTTGGAGAGAGATTTGAAGACGCTGCACTGCTGGCTCTGAAGCTAGAGGAAGAGGCCGCAAGCCAAGGCACACAGGCGCCTCTAGAAGCTGGAAGAGGCGCTGAAGCACCTTCTCTCCTCTGGAACCTCCAGAAGGAACACAGCCCTGCCCGCATGCTCACGAGATTCACTGCGCACTTCTGACCCCCAGAATTGTAAAAAAATAAGTCTATATTGTTGTTTTTGTTTTGTTTTTAAGATTTTATTGGGGAATTGGGGGAGGAGAACAGCATTGTGGAATCAGGGAAGGGGAACAGACAAGTTGCTGTCCTCCCATTCCCAGTCCAGCCGTGGAGGACCTTGCTTCACTGACAACGTTGGCACTGTGATCACTGCGCTCCTCCCAGGTGAGGCAGATCGGTCACCGAAGGCCGGCCGCTCACGGCGGCTCCCAGCAGCTCACGCCAGCTGCAGCCACCCACGCTGGCCGCCGGCCACTCACGGCAGCCCACTGCAGCAAGGGCTGCAGTCCACGCTGTCGCCGGCGACCCACGGCAGCCCAGCTCATCCTAGCCGCAGAGGGCAACGTCACTGGCCTTCATGTGGGACCCGAACCAGGGCCCTGCTGCCCAGAGCTGGCGTCCCAAGTCAGCTCCCAAACAACACATCACTCAGCCGACCCAGTCTATATTGTTTTAAGCCATGAAATTTGTGGCAACTTGTAACAGCAGCCACAGGAAGCCAATGCAAGCATCATAGATTTTTTTTTTTTGCCTGGTGCTGAACTTGATATAAATGGAATTGTACATTCCTGCTTCTCTTCTTGCTCCTTTCTTGAGGGTGTTCACCTCTTGGGTGCTCTGCCTCCACAATGTCTCTGGAAATGTCCCTTCTCTCCACCACACCCACCTCATCTGGACAGTTCACGGCACCCCCCTTATGGCCTCCCACAGGCCACTTCCTGCATGGCGTGCTATCTCACCTAAAAAAAAAAACCACACAAAAAAACATGAGCCCCAGAACTCCCAGTCTCCACAGGCAGGAGTGTAAAATGATGCAGCCATCCCAGAAAACAGTTTGGCAGTTGCTTATAAAGTTAAACACGCAACTGCCCGATGACCCAGCAATTCCATTCCTTGGGATGGACTCAGGAGACACGAAAACTTTTCTGTTCACATAAGACTCGGATGTGAATGTGCGTAACAGCTTTGCTCATAATTATCCCAAACTACAAACATCCCAAATGCCCATCAGCAAGCGAAGGATAACCACTTATGGTATATCCACACGGTACCTAGGATTCTGTCTTAAGAAGGACAGAAGCTACTGGTAGATGCACCATGGGTGAGTCTCAAACGTGACACTAGTGAAAGCGGCCAGACACGGAGATGGAGTCTGTGGCTCCATTTTTGTGAAGTTCTAGAACAGATAAAACAGCCTGCTCCTCAGAGGCCCTCACATCCATCTGCAGACCTCCAGTGCAGATGGAAAAAAAAAAAAAATTGGGACAGAGGTGACCTTGGGTGGCAGAGATGGAGACTGAGTGGGAAAGGGCACGAAAGAACTTGATGGAAAAACAAGAATGTTTATGGTAGGAGGTTGGGCTACACAAGTAGGTGCATTTGCCAGAACTCAGCAGCTCTACACTTAAGATGGATGCATTTTGCTCTAGTAAAAGTTACCTTGAAAGAAAAAAGACACACAAGCAAATATTAAACCCTAATTATGATCTGCATGCTGAAATATTTAGGGGTGATGTGGCTTGATGTCTGCTGCTTCATTTGAAGTGCATCTGGAAAAATCAGATGGACTGATGGGTGGATAGAGGGATGGATGGAAGCATGAGCAGGCATGAGATGAAGTAAATAATGCAAAACGTGAATGATAGAATCCAGCTGTGGGCATATAGGTGTTCACTGTAAATTCTCTCAACTTTTCTGCAGATTTCAAAATTTTCCTCATGAAAATTCCTCCTGTTGGGGGAAATCATCTAAATTCCTTCCCACAGGCCCTGAATGACCTGCCCTGTCCCCGCTCTACCCTCATCTCCTCCCTGTCCCCCCCTCGCTCACTTTGTGCCTCCTTACAGATCCTCTAGCTCTCTCAGCTCATTCCTGCCTTGGGGCCTTTGCACATGCTGCTTACTATTTCTCTGGAAAGCTCCTCTGTACCACCACTACTCCCCTCTATATAAACCCAGGGCTTCTTCATCTTTCTGTCTCAGCTCAGATGGTTTCCCCTTACAGAGACCTTCCTTCGTCACCTCATTTAAAATCATGCCATCCTGTTTATTTTCTATCAGGCCCCATCACATTGGGGTTATTTCATTTATTTATGAATCTGTTTATATGCGTATTGGCTGCCTTCCCTGGCTGGGCTGAGATCTCCATGGAGATGGGAATGTGTCTGCTTTGTCCCCAACACCTAGCGTGGGCTGGCATGTGCAAGTCAATCAGAGAACATCTTGTGGACGGATGGATGGATGGATGGAAGGATGATGGATGGACCAAACAAACAGATGGGTGGGTGGATAGATGGATGGGTGGGTGAGTGAACAAACATTCCAAGTGTCTTAAGATCTCAAAGGGAGAAGCTGTGTGGGCTACTCAAGACAGCTGGGCTCCGCAGGTGGGGGCTGCTTCCCTGGCAGCTCTATTGGGTTGTCGGAAAAGTCATGACATATTTTTTCTAGATTTTCCGTTGCAGAAATGTGTCATGACTTTCCCGACAACCCAATAGATGGAAAGCAGGCTCACCTTGGTCGCTGCAGTGTATCCGGGAAGCTCAGTCTTGCAGTTGTCTCTTTTGCCCAGCTGCCACCCGTAGTTGGTCTGGAATAGAGAACAAGACAGCTGACATTCACACCTCCTGGGGAGTCCATGTTGGGAAGATGGACAGGGAGGGGATTGCAGGTTTCAAGTCCTTTATCTTTGGGCTGCATGTAAGGTACCTTCCTGCAATAGCAGGAAACCTTCCTGGACCTTTAAGAGCTCGAGGTCATGACCCCACTCAGCCACTTCCTTGACTTCTGGCCACTGTTTTTCTTGAGTGTAAAAGTGCAGAATAATAGCTGTTGTCATAGCTGTGTTGTTAAGGGTCAGTAGGCACCAGGCTAAGGACTTTGTGTGCCTGACCAGGCTGGGCTGAGAGGTGGATATTACTGTCCCCGTTTTACAGATGGATTTGAGGTTCAGAGGGGTTGAGTCATTTGCCTGAGAACACACAGCCCGAGTCTAACCTTAACACTGGCTATAATAAACTCCCGGTTGCCAGGCACTAGGGGAGAGAGGGCACCCATCCTGCATTCTGAGCTCGCCACTAACTGGACCGACTGTCCACAGGATGTGGTCCAGGCTGAATGAGTGGCTGTGGTGGGAGAGGCTCTGGCTACCGCCCAACTACTCATGGACCCAACTGGAGGACCGGGATGGAGTGGTCTACGCCCACCCCCGGGACATGCTGGCGGCCCTGCCCCTGGCGCTGGCCCTGGTTGCCATGCGCTTCACCTTCGAGAGGTGAGTGTCGGTCTTGGCTCGTGTGTGTGGTGCTGGCCCTGTGCTGCCACCTTGTGCATGGTTTCTTCCTAACGGGTCCCTGGTTTTGAAATAAAGTGCTTTTCCCGCTCCATCCTGCCCCCAGCTGCCACCACTCACATTCTACTGGTCTCTGATGGCTGTTTTATCAGAACATTGGCTGCAGCTCAGGTCTGGGTGAGCCAGCATCTTCAGAAAATGGGTGGGGACCTGGAGGGACATATGCCTGCTTTGCTGACCGAGGACAGGTTAGCAGAGGCCAGTTAGTAAGCAAAGAAACTCCTGCCCGTTCCCTCCTCCCCCTGTCCCCTACAGGCAAGCCTGTCCCTTGTCCCTTGTCCCTTGTCCCTCATCCTTACCATCCCTCCCTTGCCCACCGCGTTGCCCCTTCTAACACCTTCCCTCCTGTTCTCCTTTTTAGCTAGAGGAAAAATCATAGGCACTCCCACCTCCCCTTTGGGGCCCCTTCCACTCAACCCTGGCCTCCTGCAGCCTGGCACCAGCCCCTGAATATATGCCACCTGCCCAGGTTCCTGGCGACCTCCTGGTTGCCAAACCTGTGGATTGTCAGTCATTTCTTGGGTGACTCCGGTGCTGCTCGGAGCTGAGTTTCTTCCTCTAGTCCTGGGAGTCCGTCTCTTGGTGGTGGGTACCTCTCCTGGGGTCCCTCCACTCTGTCTCAGGGAGTCCCACCCTTTCCCATGTGGCACCCAGACCTGCCTTGCCAGGCCCCTTTCCTGCCAGCCTCCCCACTGTCCCCTGCGTCAAACTTCCCTTGATGCAAAGGACCCCTCTCCCTCTCCTTTCTCCACATACATGTCCTCCTCCACTCAGGTCTGCCACCTTCTTGGTGACCACCTGGCCTTTCCACTTACTCCCCTACGGTTCCGTTAAGGCTGGGTTCCAGGGAAACCTGCCCAGCCCCTTCCCCCACAAAGCCCTTAACCCCGTCCAGCCACTTTGGGTGCTCTCTCTGTCTGCCCTGACCACAGGGACATGGAAGCATTTTGCATCTTGCTTTGTCTCTCCCGCTCATAAGGAGCTTTCTGGAGTCTGGGCTTCCTGCACACAGGCTGGGCACGGAACCCAGGGAACATCCACTGACCTTTATTTAACAGGCACCATTCGTGCACTTACTCTGTGCCAACCACTGCTCAAAGCAGTTGATGTGTCTTAACCCACTTAGCAACCCTAAGAGGCGGTACTATTATTATCAATTACCATTTTACAGAAGAGGAAATGGAGGCACAGAGAGGTCAAGTGACCTGCCTGAGGTCACACAGTGGGTAGGCCAAAAATAGGGTTAAGTGCTTAATGCTTGGCAGATCGTAAGCACTCGACAAACATTAGTGCATTCCATTCCCTTCCCCCTCCCCCCCAATCACGACTGAGTCTGGAATGAGTTCCTTGCTGGGGTATTTTACACCTCAGTTTCCCCAAATGAAGGGTGATTTGGGGATGATGGATATGAGATTTGGTCCGGATCCCTGGCCTTGGGGATCCCTGGCCTTGTGGGCTATGTGGTGATTGACTGACCAGGGTCTGGCTCCTCCCAAGTGTTCAAGCTGGAGTTGGGGGAGACTGGGAGAGGGGAGGCCTGAAAGGGAGGGAGCAAACCTGCTCCTGCCAGTGGGGAGCCCCCAATCTGGTGGGGGGCAGACCAGGACCAGGCTACCATGAGTCAGGCAGTAAGGGGACTCTGATCCCTGGTTTGGGATTGGATTGAGTGAAGGCGATTGGGTACCCCAAAAGTTTACCCTCACGCCCCCATCCTGAAGATTGGTCCAGCTGCATTTCTTATACATAGTCTAATGCAACAGCCAGGCTACCCTCCAGAGTCCCAGGATATGACTTGGCCCCTCCCAGCCTCAGTTTCTCTGCCTGTAGCATGTACGTTCCTTCTCACTTGGACTGATGGACTGTGTCCCCTGCACCCAGACTTGTTGGCCGGCCCCTGAGCAGGTGGCTGGGTGTACAGGATCAGGCCAGGAGGCTGGTGAAACCGAACGCCACACTGGAGAAGCACTTCCTCATGGAAAGGGGGCGACCCAAGGAGGTGAGGCCCCCGCTGCCCTTCTCTAGCCCCATCTGCCTGCCTGGCTGCTGTGTGGATGGGGGCTGGGACCGTATGTGACCCACTTGTGGGGGGGGGCAGGGAAAACCTAGGGCAGCTTCTGGCTCCTCCACAGTGCTCCCCGCCTGCCCGCCCCCCGCCCACTACCACCACACACACACACACACACACACACACACACACTTCACCAGGACCCCCATCAGTGAGCTCATCTGCCCAGTGAGCAGCTCCTGGGACCAGAGCGGGTTTGTCTCCTGCTCTGGGGAAGAGTAGAAGCCCTGAGTATTTGGAGGATTCTGCAGTCATGTGACCCTCCTATTCCCATCCCAGTGTAGCTGCCTCGTGGGCAGGATCTGGGCTGGGTCCTGAGGGGGAGAGGGAAAGGGAGAGGTCTTCCTACCCTGGGGGATGGGGGGACAGCTCCTGCAGAACAGAGCCTTGTGATCCCCCTCCGTTGGCAGTCCCCCTCTGCAGGTAGTTGTGGGGGGCAAGGTCTCAACCGCCTGTCTGGAGTAGGTGTGAGACTTCACTGTTCTAGAGAGAAAACCTCTAGGGGGAACTGCCCCCAGTCCCCAGCCCTTTTCTTAATCCCAATCACCATCAGTCACCTGCCTGTCCTGTGAGCAGGACTGGGTTCTCAAAAGGCCTGGCTGTTTGGGGGGCCCCATCCTATCACCCCTCTCCCCTATCTCCATAGGTAGACAGCCCCACAGGTGAGGTCTGGGGCTGTAGGGGTGGAAGGAACAGAGCTGGGTCCCATCTGTCCTGGAATAGAAGTGGAAAGCCACCTTGGTGACCACGGCCCTCCTCTCCCCTCCCCAGACTCAGATGGCTGTCCTGGCCGCCCAGTGTGGCCTCACGCTGCGGCAGACCCAACGCTGGTTCCGGAGACGCCGGAACCAGGAACGGCCCTGCCTGACCAAGAAATTCTGTGAGGCCAGGTCAGCCGGGGGTGGGCCTAGGGAGGGGGCTGTCTGGGGCTGCAAGGGGTGGGGTCTGCTCCATCAGCAGCTGCCTCATGGGCTCCCTCCCTGTCCGCAGCTGGAGGTTTGTCTTCTATTTGTGCTCCTTCTTCGGTGGCCTCTCGGTCCTCTACCACGTGAGTGTTCCTGACTGCTTCCTAGCCCCTCCACCTGCCCCATAAGCACCTACTGCGTGCCAGCCTGGCTTGGGGGTGGGGGGTGTGGGCAGAGGGGAAGGCATGTGCACAGAGTGGGGAGAGAGAACTCGACAAGGTCATGGCAGATGTTCCCTACTGTGCGTGGGGCTGCGGACCTGGCCGTGAATGAGCCCCTGGTCTAGAGTGACAGTAGAGATATAACCAGGTGGGAAACAGCAGAGCTGAGTGACAGCAGCACCTCAAGGGCCAGGGCAGCCCCGAGGAGGCCCCAGGCCTGGGGTGGGGGGCTGGTGTCCCACCTTTAGACAGCCTCAGGTGCCTGTGTCCCCACAGGAGTCATGGCTGTGGAGGCCGGTGATGTGCTGGGACAATTACCCAATCCAGGTGAGTGGCAGGGGGTGTCTGGAGGCTGGAGGGAGGATTGGGAGGATCAGAGTTCCTGTGGCCACAGGCAGTACAGCCAAACCCGGACATGACACCATAATCCCCCTCCAAGTCCCACTTTAGTTCCACCTCCCCTGTGGAACAGAGAGGGGCCAGGAGTTAGGAAACTTGGAAGAAGAGCTGCCACAAAATCACCGCCCTTGATTACCTCCAGGGACGGAGCACGCACACCTTCTTTGCTCATTGGGATTCTGGTTTTGAGCACATTGGGAAGGGCCCTGAGCCATGTGTGTGCCCCGAGGGAACCTCCACTCCCCTCAGCTAATGCTGTCCCAACCGCCCTGCCACAGCCCCTGAAGCCGGCCCTGTACTATTGGTACCTCTTCGAGCTGAGTTTCTACATCTCCCTGCTGGTCACGCTGCCCTTTGACATCAGGCGCAAGGTGAGGCCAGGCCAAGAGTCCAGCTAAGGATGTGACGTCCTGGGGGAGTCGGGACCCAGTCTCAGGTGGGCAGGGATGGCCTCACCCCACACCTGGAGATCCCCTGGTGCCTCAGGTAGGAAGCGTGGGGTCCACTGGGTCCAGAGGCCAGCCAGCCCCGAGAGGGCTGCTCCCGGCCCTGTGGGAAGGGGCCCCTCCAGCCATCCAGTCTTGTTCTGCCTGTGACCTGTTGTTTCCCACAGGATTTCAAGGAGCAGGTGGCACACCACTTTGTGACCATCACCCTCGTCACCTTCTCCTACAGCGCGAACCTGCTGCGCATTGGCTCTCTGGTGCTGCTGCTACATGACTCAGCTGACTTCCTGTTGGAGGTGGGCCCTGCCAGAGCCCTCTCAGCCGCCCTCCCCCACCCTCCCAGGTGCCCCTGGAGATGAGACCCCGCCCCCAGTCTTCCTAGGAGACTGCCCTTCTATCTTCATGGGAGGTGAGGCCCTGCTTCTCCTCTTCCAGGAAGATGAAGCTTCTCATACACAGACCACTTTGTACCTTTCTAGGCAGTTCTTAAAGATAAGGCCCTGCCCCAGCTCACCTGGCCCAGCCCCATGACGCCTTTTCCTTGAGATGAGGCCCTGCCCCTTCCCCCCTGGTTTCCCACCCCTACCACCCACCTGAGTCCATTTCTCTGTGCTGCCCTCCCCAGGCCTGTAAGATGTTTAACTATGCGCGCCAGCAGCAGGTGTGCAACTCTCTCTTCATCGTCTTCTCCTTGGTCTTCTTCTACACACGACTTGTGCTCTTCCCCACCCAGTGAGTCAGCCCTCCAGTGTGTGTGTGTGGGGGGGTGGGGGGGTGGGAGGGGGTGCTAGGCAGGTGGGCAGGCACAACTGGGATCCAGGCCTGCCTCACCCTCAGTTCCCAACCCAGGGAGCAGTGGGTGTTGGCTGGGAGGCTCCCAAGAGGAGGCAAGGGAGGGTTTTGTGTTCCCAGCCCAGGCACAGCATATGCAAAGGACCAGAGGTGAGAAAGACAGAGACCTGGGCTTGGTCTTCACTCTCGTGTGCCTAGAACATGGTGTGGTCGGGTACCAGCTCACTAAAGTCTTTACCTACTGTATTTGCTGAGCCTCTGACAGCAGAGAGAGCAAAGTAAAGATCCCTGCTCATATGGAGCTGACACTGGGGGTTGGGCTAGGGGAATGAAATAAGGCAAACAAGTAGAATATAGAGCATGTGAGTGATCAAACCCTGTTATCGTAAAAATAAGACCTAGACAGAAAACAAGCCCTCACATGATTTTAGGTGCCAAAATATGGCACCTTGGCATACTGAATATTTTAAGCTGAAGGAGTTAGTGGAAAAGGCACCCTTCTCCCTGAAACAGGTCATAAAACCCTCATGTGAGGGGTGTGTGTCCTCCATATCCTAGAGGAATCATGCTAGGATTTCTTCTCTGGCTAAGTCTTATTTTCGGGAAAACACGGTATTAAAAAGGAACTAAAGTCAGGCATAGGAAGTGTGTGGGCAGTTGGAATTAGAACTGTCACGGAAGGCATCACTCACAATGTTCATACAGAAAGACTGGAGGAAGGTGAAGGAGAGGACCATACTGATCATAACAGAAGTGTTCCAGGCAGAGGGGAAAGCACGTGCAAAGGCCCTGAGGCTGGATGGTGCCTGGCATGTTGGAGGAACAGTGAGGAGGCCCATGTGGCAGGAGCAGAGGGAGAAAGGGAAGAGCTGAGGGCAGGGAGGTGGGGGTTTTCATCCCAAGCGAAGTGGAGGGTTCTGAACAGAGGAGGAAAGGATTTGAGTTGGGTGCTCACAGGTGCCCTCTGGTGGCTACAGAGGGTGAGAACCCTCCAGGAGCTGAAGGGCCAGGGCCCAGGCCACAGCTCTCTGGACCAGGTGAGGGATGATGGGCTGGACCAGTGCAAGTAAGAGAAGTGGGTAGACTTGGGGATAACTCAAGGGTCACAAAATGGTAATGAGCTCAGAATCCTCCCTAGCTCTGTGGGTTTGAGGGGCCTATTTCCACTGCCCTCCAACCCCCTGAAAAGTCGTGGAAGAGGCAGTGAGCACACCAGCCTGGGGTTCCAGCGAAAGATGTGAATGTCCATTGTTTGCAGCCATGAAACAACGTGGTCACCTGGGGACCAGGTGTGGACGGAGGCCCAGTTCTGGGGCCCCTGATGTTTCCAGGTCAAGGGGAGCCTGCAGGGAAGACAGCGCCGGTGTGAAGTGGGGAGGCAGGAGTGTGGGTTCCTGAAGGCAGACGAGGAAAGGGCAGAAGGTGTCGGGAGGGAGGGCCAGCCGGGCACCTGCTGCCTGAGCCAGGCAGCTGACTGGTGACCTCACAGCTGATCTGGGTGCGGGTGGCAGGGGGTGGGAGGAAGTGGGGGTGAGGGGGTTCTGAGGAGAGAAGGAAATCTGAAAGGACCACCCAGGAGAGCAACTGGGATACGAAGCGCCCCCTTGGAGTTCATGGTTGTACAAGCTTGTGTGTCCTCACTTAACACAACCAAGTGAGAGCGGACACTTAAATGCCTAGTTGAAGAGCATAGCTATTACTCTGGAGGCAGTGGGGTGCCATCCAAGGTTCTGGAGCAGCTGGTGAAGCCCTCTCCCTCCTGCCTGGCCACCTGCCACAGGATCCTGTACACCACATACTTCGAGTCCGTCCTCAGCTGGGACCCCTTCTTCGGCTATTATTTCTTCAACTCCCTCCTGCTGCTGCTGCAGTTGCTACACGTGTTCTGGTCCTGCCTCATCCTTCGCATGATCCACAGCTTCACGAAGAAAGGCCAGGTAGGGCCAGGTGAGGGTGGGCTCACATGTGCCGCCCTGGAGCCCTTGGCCCAGCAGCCCCCCGCTTCATGCCCACCCTGTCCCCCAGATGGAGAAGGACATTCGCAGTGATGCGGAGGAGTCAGACTCGAGCGAAGGGGAGGCGGCCCAGGAGCGTCCGCAGCTGAAGAACGGGACGGCCCCCACTGATGGCCCTCGGAGCCGGGCAGCTGTGTGGCTGGCCAACGGGCACAAGTCAACCACGTAGCTGGCCAAGGACTGGCTGTGAGGAGCTGCCCCCAGTGCCTTGGATTTCTGGGGCAGCTGGGCCAGCGGCCTTTGGGCCAGCTGTGGAGATAGGGAGGGCCCCAGCCCCTGAGGGTGGGGGGGGGGGCTGATGACCTGTCTCCAGCCCCTTCCTTCCATCTACGTTCCCTCCTTCCCTTGGGCCACAGGACAGCGCTGGGGCGGTGGGCAGCAGCAGGGTGCTACAGCCCACCAGAGCCACCTCCAGGCTGCAGCCTGGGGACTACAAAGAGCCCCAGGCTGAAAGGGGCCCAATAAAACTTGAATGGAGCCAAATTCTCTGCCTGAGTGTTTGTGTCCCTGTCACAGCTCCTCGGAGACCCCGAGGAAGCCAGGACTCTGCTTACGAGTACATACCCCACTGATGGGACACTCACTGCCACCCCAGGACATGTGCTAAGCCCCAGGGGACCCTGACAGCAAGCAGCACATGGAGACTACCCCAGGCAAGTCCCTGACTCCCACCCAACGCCTTAGCCAAGAAACCTCCTTCCACCCCAGGGCAGCCTTCAGCCAGCTATTCACAGACCCAGCTTACAGATCAGAAGGTACTAGACTTTGCCCAGGGTCACAGAGATTAGCAGGGAGGTTCATGCCTGTCCTTGCAGAACCCTGCTCAAGGCTGGCAGAACCCTACTGTCATGGTCCCCAGGGCCTCCCTGGAAACAGTGAAATAGGGTCCAGGGATGAGGATTCCCTCAGGTTCCCCAAGGGTCAGCTTGGGTGAGGTCACTGTCTTTTTTTGTTTGTTTGTTTTATTGTTAGTTTCAGGTGTACAGAACAATGCAATAGTTACCCTTTTCACCCTCACAAAGTAACAACCCCCCTCCCCCCATCG